AGAACTGAAAACATGTTTACATTTGGGCAAATTCAGTTTGACAATTTACCAATTTTTATTAAGTTGTACAAAGTGGTTTGAGGCATTTCGCGGCTGAATATAGAGTCACCCCACATCTTACCCATATGGAGCTGTGTACACTTCTGAATGCCAATGGTAATGCGGTAAGCCACTCGAATACATCATGAGCTCATCCAGGCTATCCAGTGCTATTACCTCTCACAATCAATAGGTGAGGTAAAAAACTAACCAATTAGTTCTCTTAGCTTTCCGATAGCGCTGATCCATCTGAGTGAAAGCGTTGTAATCGACTGTAGAAGCATTTGAAAAGTCAATTCGCCGTTCAGCAGAGGCGATTCGTGGCACCTGTCAAAAGCGGAGCTATAATAAGGGCAGACAATGCATCCCCAAGACTGTAGGATTAATACGCCTGCTAGGACAGAACTCCGCGTCCCTGGGCATGTGCTGCGCCGCCTTTACCCAAGGAAGGTACCCTTATAAGGCCCTATCAAGCTGCAACATACCGACCCGGACGCCCACGCGCCCGCCCGCCACAAATGGACGACCGTACCTGATGCTCGTATTGCTTCATTTGCGAAGTAAAATATGAAGCGAAGGGATTGATATGAAGCGGCTGCGGTGCTGCATGGATATATGAGTACATACATGCAGCCGTATCTACCGTAGCGGTTATTGGCACGATGCCTACGGGAAACTCGTCCGAAATTGCTTTCTGAGTCATGAAGAACGAAGGCTTTTCTTCGCAGGTTTTTGACCGTTTCACTTCGTTTTTCGCCATTTTCCCCACTATATAGCACCCTGCTAGCATTTTAGACCGAGTACCAAATTATCGTGCCATATGTCTTTAAGGCAGAGCACCAAATTATTGTGATTTATGCCTTCAAAAGTGAGCGAGATGAAAAAATTCCACTCTGAGATGCTTGGAAGGCAGGCAGTGAAATGATTTCTCGCAAAGGAAAAGGTAGAGAACAGTTGAAAACCCTCAAAATAAGGCCCTCCTTGTTCCGGGCGACACCGGAGAATTCCTCGAGATTTCATGCAGGAGAACAGGCAACAGCGAGGAATCATGCAAACGAGTAAGACGACAGACACCAACGCGAAGCGGAGTCATTTGAGCTTTGCTGGGATTACTTGAGCAGCGATCAAATGTTACGGCTATTAGGAGCTCAATCATGACAGTAGCCCATAAGACCCCAGGAGAGAATAAAATGAGAAAAAAAACCATGGGAACACCCTGATTAGAGACCCCCCTCAGCAGTGGAGCCGACGCCTTGGACGAGCCCATGAAGACAAGCCCAATCAGCGGGTTTCTGCATGCAAGCAAATCCCGGTAGAAGCATGTGAAATCGCCCTACGACGCTCCAGGCAACGCTATGTACACACAACGCTTGTAAGCCGTTGTCTTGCAGAGTGAAAGTAATCGTGGTTGCAATGGTTGCAATAATCACGCGTCTCTAGCTTCTTTATCTCGCCGTTTCCGAGTGACGAAAGTGGTACATTTTTTGCGAATGCAGGATACGATGCCAAATGCACGACGGCATTTCGTGGACTACTTGGTCGCGGGAAATGTCTTTAACGCCCCTACCTAACAACTCTCTAACGCGAATCATGCGAAGTTGTCCAGTGCGGCCCCACACTTTCCCTCCTCAGTCAAGCACACTTCACCTGGGAAAGATTCTGTCTAAAAGTTAAGCTATTCTACTGAGTACTGTGAATACTTCCAGAAAGGCAGGGTCTCAGCAGCAGAGCTCGCATGGCTTACATATCCTGCATTCAGCAGCGGAGATACTGCGCCGATTGTCTACGGGTTCCAAAATTTCAAACAGTTCCAAAGTGTTAAGGCTACGTACCTTTTTATTAGTGGCCACTGGCTGAGGTACGACAGGATCAGGTGGTCGACCACCCTGCCTGGTCGCTAACCTCCTTAATAAAGGGAGTGTCCTCCATTGTCGGTGGCGGGATCGAAGGCATCATTTTCGCTCTAGCAAAAGTGCAATTTATCTAAGTACTGAGAAAAGCGGTAAAAGAAGTCACCTCTTGTTTTGGTGGTGTCAATGGTGTGGGCGATGGTCGGTGCGATGCCACATCGCTCGTTTTCTCCGACGAATCGTTCGCTTTCTCTGATGACATTGAAGACGATGAAACTGTAGTGGTTGGGCGCTGCTCGCTGACGCTTGAAGGACGGACCATATTTTCCTCTTCATCATCGCTTTCGAAATCATCCTAAAAACACTTGGGTGGATTCATAGACATAGTTCAAGAGAAAAATCGCATTTTTTTTGCGGACTTCGTCTTTTGATTTTTCGGAATCTTTCTCCAGAAATCAACACCTTCAGAAGCACATCCCACGATGGATGAACTCGGAAAAAAATAGTGGACTATGGGGACCGAAAACCAACAACAAGGTGGTAAGTTATTCAATAGTGGGGAAAACAGGAGAAAAAGCCTTCTGAAATGCCTCAGATAGGACCCCCTGCCTTTCCCTGGTTATACAAGTACACAACGACTAGGAGGCGGGCTCGCATGAGTTCTCATATGTTGGAACTATGAAATATCGGCACTTATCCCATTTCACCTCGCTCTCACCACTAGGAATGGACAAAGTTGTGGCGGAACAACTGGACCACAAGGAAAATTTTAAGTGAAGGTGGGTGTCGTATGGGGCAGTGGGCGGGACTTCGCCTTCTTCGCGACTGAGTGGCGTCGTTACTAGGTGGTTTTGAGCCGTGGAAGTGATAAATTCTTAAGCACCATGTCCTGTTCACGGGCACAGGGTCCAAAGTATGAGGTGTACACCAAGTGAGTGCGTGCCTTTCGGGCGCGTAAAATCCGTAAGATGAAAAAAAACTGAAAAGTTACGTCGGAAAACTTTGTAGGTGTATCAAGGGAGGGCTTTAAGGTCTTCTCCATTCCGGACAATTTCGAATGGTAATAGATTTTTACTATTTTCACTTTGAATTCTACCGCAAACAAGGACATGGAGGTTACCGGTAAAAAAAAAAAAAAAAAAAAAAAAAAAAAATAGTCTCAAAGTCGTGCCTCGGAGGTTCCAGGCAATTCCACGACTGGCTCGGGTGTTGGTATCTTTACCGGCTCCTCCTTCCTTTTTGGCTCATTATGCTTCTCTTTCAATGGCGATTTAGTGCTCTTAACTTCAAAATTATTCGGACAGAGAAGAAGCAAAAATTTGCTGAAATGGATCACCTTTAATTTTTTCGATTCCGAATCGGACTTCGTTTTCTTCTCATGATTCTTCTTATGGTTAGCTGAGTCGGAGTCCTTCCTGAAAAGTGGCACTCGTTTGTATATGGACCAAAATTGTTATCTTTGTTTCCGTTAAAAAACTTCCGGGAACAAATTCACGTCTGGATCTTGGATTTAGAGCGATGATGCGTTTTCGATGAGTCCTTTGGGATCTCTTGAGTTCTTTCCACGGATTTAGACCTGCTTACAGGATTCCACGTAAAACAAATTGAACAAGTATACACGAAGGTACTTTCAGTGAGATCTTCAAAAGCTTACTTTTTCTTTTTTGGCTCCGGAATTCCTGTTGGTTTATCCTTGCTACGATGATGCCTTTCTTTTGACATAGTCAAGAGATGAATAAGTGGGAATTAAGGGTACAGTGGTTAAGGAAATGGAGTGTTCTGTGGGCAGCAACACAGCTGCCTAGCAACCAACAACGCATTTCTACGACACATACGTCACATCCAATTTCATGATTTTCCCTCGATTTTGCATTCACACAAAAGAGAGAGCCGTCTAGTTGAGCAACGGTTTCATAGAAGGATTGAAGTTCCAAGGGTATTTCACGAAATTAAAAGATTTTCTTTCAGGAAAATTCTCTCAAAACGTTGACGTCCGCCTGATTCGTGACTAGAGCGTGAATAAAGTATCAGGATTGAATGGAAACGGTCAGCTTTCTCTCACTTACAACAAGGGGTAATTTTATTACATTGGAGGCCGAAGCTGGTGTAGTGAGAAATGACGCTGTGCCCATGACACGGAAGTCAAACCCCAGGAACTGCTCGGCGCCAACGGCCTTTACCACCTTCAGGCTTCCCAAGCGGGGTTTGAAGGGCAGTTGGCAACGTAATAACTCGCCATAAAAACGAAAGTAGGATATGAATTACGAGTGCCAGATGGCTGATTTCCGACCCTGACTAGGGCGTATAATGCCTTTTCCAAGGGAGGTGCCCTTATAAGGGCCCTATCAAGCTACAACATTCCGACCCAAACGCCCGCCACGCCCGCCCGCCCACAAATGGACGACCTTACCAGATGCTCGTTTTGCTTCATTTGCTGAGTAAAACATAAAGCGAAGGGAATAGTATGAAGCGGCTGCGGTGCTGAATGGATATATGAGTACATACAGGCAGCCGTACCTGCCGGAGCGGTTATTTGCAATACGCCTACGGGAAACTCGTCCGAAATTGCTTCTCAAGAACGAAAGGCTTTTCTTCGCAGTTTTCGACCGTTTCACTTCGTTTTTTCGCCATTTTCCCACTAGATAGCGCCCTGCTAGCATTTTAGGCTGAGTACCAAATTATCGTGCCAACTGCCTTTAACACGGCGAGGAGAACGACCGATTTATCTCATTTTTGATCCGTTTGATTTTCACAGTCATCATTTGTATTTTGATTTTACTTTCTTCTCAACGTCGCCTTCTGCCTTCCGTCCGTGCGGTCATCCATCCTCCGCGATCGCCTTCCATCCAGCTTTGCCACCGTCGCCGTCCACAACACGGCCGTCCTGTTGCCATCGCGGCCTCCAAGCAGTACCACACTCACTGCCATGAAAGAAAAATCTAATTACTGTATAACTCGATGTGAATACCTGTGTATAAACCCCTATGATTGGTAAACTCCGTTGTCGACGGAGTATCGTGGTCTCTGATGACGATCCCTCACCCCTTCCCTGATACGGGGTCAAGCCGATCCTCGTCAGGTAGGGGTCTCACTCTTCCTTCTATCAACGTCCAAGACGAGACGTAGGTTTCCATTCGTATCGGTATCTATCTTATAAATATATCATAACCCATTGTTGTCGTTAAACCTCCCAAATCCTCAGAGTCCTACACAAAACCACTGGACCACTCCCATAGTTTTATTCAGCAGAAGTTTTCCCCAGCGGCAGTACA